GATGAGTTTTATTATTTATGAAAATAATTAAATTCATGCTTAGAATTTAATCAAAAATTTTTTTTTTGAATTAAATTTTCATGAACAATTTTACTATTAGTGAAAGTAATTGAATTATTGTGCAAAATAAATTGCATAAAATTTTGTTAAATAATTGATTTTTTGGAATTATTTTTCAAAAACTCATTCTTTTCTTTTGGAAAAGAAACATTACATATTCTATTCTATTTGTCATTGGGGCCATCCATAAATTACGTAAGACATTTAAGGGGGAGGGGGAGTCAGCAAGATCTTACCAACAATAGGAAAAATGGCGCTAATGTATGTAAAATATCTTACGAGGGAGGAGGGGGGGGGGTCAAATTTACCCAAAAAATGTCTTACGTAATTTATGGACAGCCTCCAATTACAAATTTTAATTGAAAATGAAATTGAAACTTTTCAAATTTTTAGAAAATAAAGAAAAAAATTTTACCCAAAAAAATGTTCTGTTACATTTATTTACGAATTTCTTTAATCGTAAAATTCCTTAAAAAAAATTTTATTTATAAAAATAATTGAATTATTGCCAAGGAATTTATAAAAAAATTTATAAATAATTGAATTCCTGGTAAATTTTTATTATTTATGAAAATAATTAAATTTTTACGTACTATTGTTGGGAATTTGAAATTGATTTGAAAATAATTAAACTTTGGGGAAGAATTTTGTTATTTATAAAGATAATTGGGATTTTGATGAGAATTTTTCTTTTAAATTTGAAAGATAATTGAATTTTATGAGAAGAATTTTATCATTCTTGAAAATAATTGAATTTCTGCAATTATTTGTAATTTTTCCAAAATTAGATTTTTTTAGTGTTTTCAACAAAAATTTGAATTACAAATTTCTAAATTCTATTATTTTTAAAATTGCTAATTTTTGAACTTTAAATTTTGCTATGAAAAAAAAAATGAAATTTTGTGTCTGGAGATTGAAAAATATAGGATTCATTGGTCTGTGCGTGCAAGTAAATTGTTACTAGCGACGGTCTGACTTCCTCTTATATGGTATATACCTACTAGTATTATACAAAACAACCGCGCGTTTGACGTTTGACAAATAAGAAACGGGGTCCAGCCATATCATTACCCATCCTTCGCGGTGAATTCGGCTCTCGGGACGAATGGGCATTCTTAAAAACTCCTTTGGCGATCTAATAACGTCGAGGACGCACCGCCTCATTAGTCAAGTCGAATCTCCTCTTCAAAATCAGCCCTGCACCCTATTACACACTATACGGTTATATACATCCACAAACGCTTTCTTTATTTCTTCCTTATTCTCTTATTGGATTCTGTCCCAACTTTTCGAAATACAAAAAAAAATCTTCGAAAAAAACAGAACAAAAAAAAAAATTATAAAATAGAAAAAATTTTTTTTCCAAAACTTTCTTTTATTATTGAGATGTTAAACTCTAGGTTTTGAGACAAAAAAATCTGTTTCTATATGTAAAGAAAACTAGCAACAATTCTGACTTTTTACTTCCTTTTTTAAATAAAATTGACAATTTTAAAAATAATAGAATTTAAAAAATTTTAATTCAAACTTTTTTTCATAAAAATAAAATATTGAACTGGAATATAGTTTTAATACTATTGTAACTATAATAACAGGGAATTCAGGGAAAAGTCAGGGATTATTATTAAAAGTATTGGAAAAAATTTAATTTTTAGAATTCATAAGAAAATTCTGAATTTTGGTGTTTTTTTGCCTCACATAAACTATGAAATTACCACTAATTCTAATAAAAAAAACCTTCAATTTTTTTATTACTATAACAATAATTTATTTTTAAATAACTTAATTCTTGAAAAACTACATATTATAAAATTATTACTCAGAAATTATTTAATGAATAATTTACTTAAAATATTTCAAAATTAATTTAATTTAAATTTTAAAAAGAGTTGAGTTTACAATTTTCATAAATTGTAAATTGTAAAATTTCTAAAGGTAGGTATTAATTTGAAACTTATAAAATTTTAATTTTTAATCAATTTAATTTTAATAATTTCATAATTCTTTTGAAATTAGATAAATTTTTTAATACATATTTTGATTAACTTTTAAAAACAATGAATTTATAGAAGAATTTTAGTTAAAAACACTAAAAAAACATTGAATTTTGGAAGAGTTAGAAATTATTACAGAAATTCAATTATTTTCAAAAGTAATAACATTCTTCGCAGACATTCAATTATGTTCAAAAATTTTTAAAACTTCACCTCAAAATTTCAATTATTTTTATAAATAATACAATTCTTTGCAAAAAAAAAAAAAATTCAAAAAAAAATTCAATTATTTTTAAAAATTTTAATAAAATTCTTTGGAAAATTTAAATTATTTTCAAAAAATTTTCCTCAATTCTGTGATTTCAAAAATCTATTATTTTAATTAAATTTTCCAAAAGAATTCAATTATTTAAAATTATGATAAAATTCTACGCAAACATTTAATTATTTTCATAAACAATAAAAATTTCCCAGAAAATCAATTATTTTACAAACTTTTTTTATAAATATCTTCGCAATAATACAATTATTTTCATAAATAATAAAATTTTCTGCAGGCATGCAATTATTTTTATAAATAATAAAACTATAATCACAGAATTTCAATTATTATTTTTAATACAATTTTAATCGAATTTCTCGAAAAATGTTATTATTCTTAAAAATGTTATAAAACTTTGTCAAAATCATTATAGCATGAATTTTTAGAAATAATTTAATTTTGAAAAGGTTTCAAATTAAAATCTTTGAAAATTTGAATTTTTAATACTTTTAACTGACAATTTTGAAGAATTAATTTGTTTTTCAAAATGTTTAATTGAATTTTTTTAAAATTATTTGAAGTATTCTTATTCTTTAATATATATTTAATTGAAGAGTTTCCGAATAATTGAAATTTCGTAACATTGAATTGTAAACAAATTGATTTGAAAATTCTCAATTAACTTTTTCAAAAATTATTAAATATAATTAAAAATTCTAAATAATAATAATTGAATTTAAATGAGGAAAGTAATTTCGAAGAAGGTGCAGTAACAATATTCTTATAATATAAGATTTAAATTTGAAATATTTGAAAATCTTAATTTCTTTGGAAAAATAATAATAATTAAATATTTATTTAAAAAAGAAGTTATTGATGATTTTGAATAATTTTACTATTAAAGAAACTCGTAAATATAAATGTAACAGAACATTTTTTGAGTAAAATTTTTTCCTTTATTTTCTAAAAATTTGAAAAGTTTTAATTTCTTTTTCAATTAAAATTTGTAATTGACAAATAGAATTTATAAGCATTTTTTGCCTTTAGTTTTAAAAAACTTTGAATTATATTTCCTTATGAAAATTTAGAATGTTCTTAAATATTAAGAAACGGGAATGTATATATGTACTGTTTTCTTTCCCAAAAGAAAAGAATAAGTTTGTTAACAATATTATTATATTGAGAAATAAAAATTATGCATAAAATTAGTATTTTCATATTTCGTAAACATAATTTTTTAACAATTAACAATTTTTCTAATATTTTTTTATAAACAAAAAGGAGAAAAATTTGCATTATTTAGACCAGTCAAACGAAATTTGTTTCAGAAAAAGGCATATAATAAACAAAATGGGTATAGTTTTATTTGTTAATCATAATTGTTTTAAAATTTTCTAATTTTCTAATTTCAAATATTTTTTTATTATTGAATCATGAAAAAATACCTGTATATTTTAGATTTGTCAAGCAATAATTAATTATATTAGAGTTAATTTTAGTTAATAATAATAATAATAATAATAATAATTAATAATTATACATAGAAGAAATTAGAAAAAAATGTTTAAAAGTTAAAAAAAATTAAAAAAATTGTTTCCTGTTGCGTGTGTGTACGATTTTGACAAAAAGGAAATAATCTCAATGTGAGGATTAGAGTGCGTGAAGGGATCATTTATCAATTTCAATTTTGCTGTTTAATGATATACAATACGCTTCTTTTGTCACCGTTTCTCCTTTCTTCGGATCAACATCGCGGTAGGTATAATATGCGCATATATACGTATGGTTACACAAAAGTTGCCATTGAATTTTATTAATTTGTTGTTGGGAATTTATTTTTATTGTGACGTTTTTTCTTTTTAAAGTATATGATTGAAAGAAATCTCCTTTTTTTCTCTTAATCTACAATGTCGAAAGGCAAATTTACTTCAACAACTTGTAACTTATAATAGTCATTAACTTATTCAACTCTAATTAGAATCATATACAAATGTTTTATACATTTTATACATTTTATACCCCATTGAAATGTAAATTTTTATCCCAACTTTTCTCATCTCTAACAATCAGTAATTCTCTTTTGAAAAATTGTTATTATTTAGAAATTCTTTTTTTATTATTTTAAGAAAATGAGAATTTTTTCACTATTTTTAAAAACTATGCGAAAATAATTACATCAATTTTATTCTCAAACATTTTTCGTCTCTAAAAATTACAAATAAAAATTTATTGAATAAAGCTCAATTTTTTTCAAGTAATAATTTATATTTATTAACGTTGGCAGAAAAAATTTTTAATTACCTTATGAAAATAAAAGACAAAACTATAAATTAAATCTTTTATGATAGATTACATAGTTTAATTCAAGTTGGTTTTAGAAGATAAGGAAATAAGAGTAGAAAAAAAATTTACAAACTATATTTAATAGTCGAAAACGAAAAGTAAATATTTGCTGCAGAGTTTAATTTATATTTATAAAGTTTTTTTTGGCAAAATTTCTCATTGGAAAAAATTTAATAAAATTATCTAATTTATGAAAAGTATATAATTTAATGTTCGGAGTCTTTATTTCTTTCTGTACATAGAAATAAAAAGTACGCAAGAGCATATCAAAAGTTGAGTAAATAAAAGAGAGTCAAGTACAATGATCCTCTATAATCTATCTTCTATTACATATAAATAAACTAGGTTCATTATCAAAATTAATAGTAACTCCAATATTCAAGCGAAGAACACAAGTGTAAAATCCGAAATTTTAGGTAAGTTTTTCTAAATTCTTGATTTTGTAAATTTATCAAAAATTCAGTGGCTTAAAAATAAAAAAGTATAAATGCTTAATAATTGGTGTAGCACTCAAGAGCATGAAATTAATTTCAAAATTAAATTTTTCTAAGTCTAGTAGTTGTTTTGAAAAAACAAACTTTAGATTCTCAAAAAATTCAATGATTATAAGCAAAATTAATGTTGATTGCATAATGTTATTGAAGAAAACAGCTATTATACAAGTAGACTCGAATGCTTCTATTTTATAATTTTTCTTATTCCCGAACTCAAATGTATTTTTAAATTCCGTTTAAAAATTTATTTTTTTTAGAAAAATCGTTTGAAATTTATTTAAAATAAATTCATTTGAAATTTTTACACCCATCTTTTTTTTTTACAATTTTCTACTATTTGGATATTTTTGTTATATAATTGTGATATGAAAAGCTACTTCTACTACTACTTCTCTCAATAAATTTAATAAAATTCTTCCAAACGATTCAATTATATTCAAAAAAATTTTTAAATTCAATTATTGCAACATCAACTATTTTAATAAAATTTTTCAAAAGCATTCAATTATTTAAAAGAATTTTAATAAATTTCTTCGCAACTATTCAATTATTTTCATAATTAATAAAATTTTTACAGGAATTCAATTATTTAACAAACAATTTTCATTAATTTTTTTCGAAAAAATCAATTATTGAAAAGAATTATTATAAAATCTTCGCAGAATTTATTATTATTTTGAAAGATTTTAACGAAATTCTTAGCAGAAATTCAATTATTTTCAAAAATTTTAATAAAATTCTATATAGAAGAATTGGATTTTTTAAAATAAAACTTCAATTAAATTAGTTGAAGAAATTTTTAAGAATTAAATTATTCTCATAAATAAAATTCTTCCTGGAAATTTAATTATTTTTAAAATTAGTAAAATACTTTAGAAAAATTAAATTATTTTCAATGTAATTTTAATAAAATTCTTCGCAGAAATTTAATTATTTTAATAAATAGTAAAATTTTCACGCAGCAATTCAATTATTTAAAATACAATTTTCATAAAATTTTACGAACAACAGTAATATTATTCCAAAAATTTATTATAGAATTTCTCACAAAGAATTAAATTATTTTCATAAATAGTAAAAATAATCGCGAATTTTTAATTAGTTTTAATACAAATTTAAATGAATTCCCCGAAAAATGCAATTTTATTAAAATTCTTCGAAAGAATTCAATTATTTTAAGAGAAATCTTGATAAAATTATTTATAAAAATTCAATTTTAAGAAATATTTCATACAAAAAAAATTATTGAATTTCGAAAGAATTACAATGGTAATTTTTAGAAATTGTAAAATTTCAAAAAGATTTTACGCAGTTTAAAATATTTTAATTCCTTTGGAAAAATAAATAAGTGTTTAAGTATTTAAATATTTATTGAACGATAATTATTCAAGTTTTGAATATAATTTAATTTGGTAATTATGAAAAAAATTAGTCTTTTGAAAAATTGTACTTAAAATTTTTTGAAGATAGTTAAATTCCAGTATAAAAAATTTAAAAAGATGAAATTATATTTCCAATGATTTGGTAAGTTTGTCAAATTTAATTAAAATAAATTATGTATTTTAAAGAATTTTTTTCTACTTTTAAAAATTATTTTTCATTATAATCCTATTTTTGAAGCATTTGAAATTAAAATTTAGCAAATTTTTGAATTTTGTAAAAATTTAGAATTAAATTTATTAGCAGTCGGTATATGAAAAAAACGTAAATATTTTTTATGAAAATTAAAAAAAATCAGGTAAATAAAATGCAGAATCAATTTTTTGTGATTTTTGTGAAATCTTCTCAAACAAGTTTTTTAGCAGTGAAATTGAATTTTCCAATAACTACTTTTTTCGACTTAAAGCTACTTTTTGCTACTTTTTTTAAAAATTCTATCGAGTGCGAAGCCTGCAGTTCACCCCAACTGTATAATTTTAATTCAAACTCTTAATTAAATTTACTTTTTTCCATTTATTTACAGAAGACGAAACAAGGAAACAAAAATAATGAAATTCCACACTTGTCTCTTACTTGGACTAATTTTAATTCAACAAATTTTCGCAACACTTGGATGTGAAGATGAATTTCAACTTCCAAACTGCATTTGTCAACCACAAAGAACAGATTACACAGAAATAAAGAATATAAAATGTCCTAACTTTGACATTGAAATAAATATGCATTCGAATTCAATAAAATTTACTTGCATCAATAATACAAGATTCACAGATTTCAAAGATTATATTAATTTCCACAAATATTATAGAACAGACTTCAAAATGGAAAAAGTTTATCTAATAAATTGCAACATCAATCGTACTATGAATTTACGAAAAGTTAATAGATTAAATATTGAAGAAGCTGATTATTTGCAATTAACAATAAGATCGGAAAATAAAAATTTAACTCTCTCAAAATTTAATAAACTTAGAGAACTTGAGAAATTGTACGAATTAATAATATCATCAAGTGGAAATGTCACAATTCAACAAAAAACATTAGACGATATTCCAACACTCAGATTAATTCAAATAAAAAATAATCGAAATGTAAATTTGGAAAAATTAAGCAACGAAAACGTTGTTGGTCTATTTATACATAAGAATAAAAATTTAAATCTATCAAGTAATTCTTTAACAGGACTAACGAATCTCGAACAACTTCGAATAGTAAATAATAATTTAACCTCATTGCCTGACAATTTTTTACTTAATATTAATTATCTACAAATATTAGATTTAAGTGATAATATGTTAACCCAACTTTCAGAGAAAAGTTTTCAACAATTGAGAAGTTTGAAACAAATTTATCTCCACAATAATCAAATCGAACAAATATCACCAAATTTCTTCAATAATTATACAAACTTAATGTTTATTAATTTCGAAAACAATAATTTAACATCACTACCCGATGGACTATTTTCTGATTCAAAGAAACTCAACTATATTAATTTTAGCCACAATAAATTAACCCAACTTTCAGAAATGATATTTGGAGTACTGGAGAATGTGAGAAAAATTTATCTCCGCTACAATCAAATAACAAAAATTTCAAGAGATTTCTTTAGAAATTGGAAAAAGGTTAATTTAATTGATTTACAGCACAATAATTTAACATCATTGCCCTATGATTTGTTCACTGGACTGGATAATTTGCAAAGTATAAGTTTAAATAACAATTTTCTGATGCATCTTACAGATAAATCATTTGGAGTTTTAGGAAATATGAGAACGATAACTTTCTGGAATAATAAAATAACAACTGTTTCCAAAGATTTATTTAGAGATTGGAAGAATTTAAGTTTTATTGATTTTGGACATAATTGCTTAGAAACATTACCTGAAAATTTGTTCACTGACTTAAATGATATAAAAATGTTAGATCTGAAAAATAATCTTTTAAGAACGCCTGGCGAGGGTAAGAATTATGATGTGAATCGTTACTCTCAATGTTTGTAGTTGGAAGGAAATTGTAAAATAAAAAAATCATAATAAATTTTTTAAAAAAAGTATATATAATAAATGATAATAATAAATTAACATTATAATAAATTGTAATAAATAATCTCAAAGTAAACTCTTTTAAAAAACAAACGGCTTATTCATTAATTATATAGGTTTCATGATTTACCTAAATAATATTTGAAATTAGAAAATTTTTCAAAAACTTATTGTATGCTTTTTTCTACAACAAAAATTATAAACAAAACTAAATTATAAACAAAAATTACAAATTATAAAGTTATAAAATTACAACAAATCAACAAATAAAAAATATACCGATTTTGTATATTGTATGCTTTTTTCTACAACAAATTATTTCGTTTGACTGATCAAATAATGCAAATTTTTCTCCTTTTTATTTATAAAAAAATATAAAAATGTTAATTGTTCAAAAATTATGATTAAGAAATATAGGAAATATATCAAATTTCTAAAAATTTAAGCTATAATGCTTTTAAAATTCAACTATAATCTAAATTTTTAACTATGAAATTCATTTTAAAATTGATTTTTAATAGAAAATTCTACGAGCATTCAATTATGAAGATACAAAAGTAAATAATTTATTGAAATGAATGTTTCTTAAAATTTAATTCTAATAAATAATTTTATCAACACATTGTTAAATAATTACCTAAAGTCTTTCAATGAATTTTAATAAAATTATTAAGAACAATTACATTTTTCGAGGAATTCGATTAAAATTGTAATAAAAATAATTGAAGTTCTGCGATGAGTTTTATTACTTATAAAAATAATTGAATTTCTAAAAAGAATTTTAATATTTATGAAAATAATTGAATTTCTGCAAAAAATTTTACTACTTATGATAATAATTAAATTATTGCGAAGAAGTTTATAAAAAAATTTGTAAAATAATTGTATTCCTGGGAAATTTTTATTGTTTATGAAAATAATTAAATGTTTACATAGAACGAGGGGGTAATTACTGATTATAATGGTGTATACTCTAATGCACTAAATTTTCCTTCTATTACGCGTATTATCCAGTATTACAGGGTATTACGGAACTATTACAGGGTATTATTGATTATTACAGAATATTACCTCTATATTATGTGGTATTACACTGACGTAATATTGCTCTATTACACTCTATTACGTGACTATTACATGACTATTACGTGAGGAGCGAACACGCTAATACAGAAGTAAATACCCCCTCGACATAGAATTTCATCAAATTTTATTTTAAATAATTCAATTCTTTTGGTAATTAAAATAATTGATATTGAAAATATTATTGAATTGAGGAAAAATTTTTGAAAATAATTAAAATTTTGCAAAGAATTTTATTAAAATTTTTAAAAATAATTTAATTTTTTGGGAAGAATTGTATTATTTATAAAGATAATTGAAATTTTGACTAGAATTTTTAAAAGTTTTTTAACATAATTGAATTTCTGCAAAGAATGTTATTATTTTTGAAAATAAGTGAATTTCTGCAATCATTTGTAACTTTTCCAAAATTCAATGTTTTTTGTTTTTAACTAAAATTCTTTTTTAAATCTATTATATTTAGTAATTAATTAAATGGAATTATTAGAATTTTTCAAAAATTTAAGTTCTTTAAAATTTCTAATTAAATTCATTCAAAATTCAAATTTTACGAAATTTCACATTAAAACCTTTTGAAGTTAATCTATTTATGAAAATTGTAAACGCAATTGTCATAAAATTCAATTAATTTTGAAATATTTAAGTAGGTTTTATTTTCAATTTTAAGTAATAACTTCTAAGTAATAATTTAATGATAGTTCTTCAAGAATTAAGTTATTTGAAACAAAATTATTGTCAAAGTTAGAAAAAACTTAAGGTTTTGTTATAGAATTTGTAGTAATTTCATAGTTTATCAGGCGAACAAAAAAGATTCAAGATTCAGAATTTTCTTATGAATTCTAAAAATTCAATTTCTTCCAGGGGGTCGAGATTATGTAATTTCATTTCCACTTTCATTTTCATTTTCACTTTCACTTTCACTTTCACCTTAATTAATTTTCACTTCCACTTCTACTTAAAAAATTTTTTGAGTAAAATATACAAATATTACCGTAATTTTGTATTATCATCGAAATATTCTATTAAATTTACTTGTATATTCATTTATTTAATAAAAAAAACAAGGCTTCGGATATGAAATTGAATGTTTACTGCTCCAAGCATATAAAATTGGATTATTTATAATAGCAATAATTTTTATCCTTTTTATATTAGGTAAATTAAACATTAGACTCTCAATTTTATTTTAATGTGCATTAAAATTTTGTTTAAAATATTTTTAATGAATAAAAATATTAAACATTGCGAAGTAATTTTAACGCGAAATTGAAGACAAAGTTTGGACATTTTTATCGTATACAAAACTAAAGTCTAAAAATATTTAACTAAATTTAAAAAAATTTCTAAGACTATGAAAAGAAAAACAATAAAAATTTAGTTTTCTTATAAAAGTCGTAAAAGTCGTAAAAGTCCTATTGGAGACATTTTAAAAAGGTTTCATAGTAAATCGTGAAGTGTTAAAATAACACCAGAATATATTAAAATAATCTGCTTGACACAGTAAATATTCAATTTCATCTCCGAAGCCTTGTTTTTCTTATTAAATAATTAAATATACAAGTAAGTTTAATAGAATATTTTGATGATAATATAAAATTACTGTGTAATATTTGTAGGGGAATGTAGTCAAGGTTGGCCTACTGTCTAGGTAGGCCACTCGCGTTTTTTTGTCAAGTTCACTAGCGCCACCTACGCGCATTTTTGTCGAAGCTTGTCTTAGTGAAACCTAACTTTTTGTTCAATTACATTTTCGGAAAATCGAAAATTGTGTTTTCTGTGACGTCGGTACAAAAAAAGCTCAAAAATAGTTTTGTGCATAATGTGAAAAACCATTAATAAAAGATAAAAAACAAATTGAATCGTCAAGGCAAGTATGCAGAAAATTTGTGGGACTCATGGTTGAAAGGAAAACAAAGTAAAAAATCGAATCCCGAAACGTATTTCTTTATGGTTACAACAATTCGGTAATGTTACTTACTGTCAAGGTCGGCCACTATGTGCTTAAAATGCGCAAAGTTGAGGACGAGCTACTTCATTTGCAAAAACTGCAATTCTGTATAACTCATAATATAATTGATCATCTTATTAATATTTTTATTTAATTTTATTAATATTTTAGTGCAAAATTTTTTTTTATCTATATTTATTTTTTTATATTGTTTATTTATATTATTTTGTTATTTCATTAAGTTACAAACTGTAAACAATAAAGAATCAATTTTCCGTAACTCCAAACATGTTATTTTATTTTTTAACGATTAATGCCCTTTGAATTTTAAACATGGCCGACCTTGACTGTAATGGCCAACCTGGACTACAAATTTTTTTTTTTTTAAATCTTTATAACTTTTTCATTTTTAAACCTGTCAATTTACTTTGTACAGAAAAAATGTTCCTATTAAACAGGACTTTCCAACCATATACTTCAATTATCCAAATTCATTTTTAAAAAAAAGTTATAAACAAAAGTCAAAAAGGTGGCCGACCTAGACTATGTTCCCCTATATTTTGTTTAAAAAAATTTTTAAGTAGAAGTGGAAGTGATAATTAATTAAGATGAATGTGAAAGTGAAAGTTATAATTAATTAAGGTGAAAGTGAAAATTAATTCAGGTGAAAGTGAAAGTGGAAATGAAAGCGAAAATTAATTAAGGTGATAGTGAAAAGGAAAGTGGAAATTAATTTAGGTGAAAGGGAAGGTAAAAGTGGAAGTGGAAGTGAAAATTAATTGAGGTGAAAGTGAAATTACATAATTGACCCACTGTCTCAGAATATATGATTATTATAGTTATAGCAGTATTAAAACTATATTCCAATTCATATTTTATTTTTATGAAAAAAAATTGAATTACAAATTTTTAAATTCCATTATTTTTTAAATTGCTAATTTTATTAAAAAAAAAGTAAGTAAAAAGGTAGCTACTTGCGTTAGCGCACGAATTGTTGCTAGTATTAGTAATAATATGACTAATAATATTACTAATTAATATTAATAATATTAATTAGATAATAATTATGAATATTATGAATATTATGAATATTATAATTTATAATTAGATATATTTGTATAGAGCTTCCGTGGCCGTGCGGTGTAGTTGCTCCCTTTATTCGGATATGCGCCGGGAAATCGGGGTTCGATCCCACATGCAAGCGATATAATAATAAATAATAAAATACAATTTTCTGTTGTAAAAAAAACAGTTAGGGTCATTTGGGATAAATGTAAACAGTAGATGTTTCAACTAAATTTACAAATTAAAAAATAAGTACGACGTCAATATTTTTACCTCAGCTCACCTACAAGATGTTCTGAGTATTGCCAATATTTTATTTTGACAATTGGCAATGCCATAGTGTAAGTTATAAAAATAAATTTAAAAATCAAAAAAGAAATATGTAATTCTTCCTTATTAATGCCCTAACAAAAATTGACTTTGATTTTTGATTTTCGTCAATTTAGTTAATAAATAATTAAGTGTTTACATTTACCCCGAGAATTCGAAAACTCGGGGTAAATGTAAACAGAACTTCAACTACATTTTAAAAGAAAATAATTAAATAAATTTGCTTCTATTTCACAATTTCATTAATTTGGCAATGTAAATATTACAAAGAAAAGGAAATTAGGTCCTCTTTGAAAAAAAAATTTGATAAAAAAAGAAAAACATTTTTTTTTTTTGAAAATTTGATCAATTTTTAAAAATATTTTTAAGTTCATCCGCCATTTTGAAAATTTAAAATTTGACTTGAAATAACTATTGTTTCTTAAACCTCGCAACAGCATGTGACTGTTAGGTTCTCAATGGTAATTTTTTCGACCACTTTTTTCTTCAAATATTTAATAAATTGAGCTGAAATTTTGTAAGAAAGTCTAAAATATAATAAAGAAGGGCAGTGATGTGCAAAAGTTTTAACAAATCAAAAATAAATGAAAATAAAACACTTTGAAATCGGTAAAGACGAAAAATTGATTAGAAGTGACCGTGACAACTAATCATTTTA